ATTTCTTCTAGAAGAGAGGTCAAAGCTCTTGACACTCCTTTTGGGTCCAATGCAGATGCAATTCAGAGGTACCAAGTGGATCAATCATTTCAATAAATTGTCACTGGATTTGAGGAGGGTGCATTTCAAAGAGTGCCCTGTCTTTGTTTTTAAAGAAAGACATCAAATTAGAAGTGCCAGTCCCTGAAAGAGGAAGGGCAAAGAGTATGCCTCTGCTCAAATCAGCCATTGATGTTAGAACTGCACTGTGTAATTCATTCTGCGGCTGCGGCAGCACTTAAAATGAAAATAATCCTCAGCCCTTCTGACTCCTCTCTCCTCCTAGTTCTTCAAAAGCCGAAGCTTTGTCTGGGGTTAGGTGTTTTTGATTTGTGTTACTCTATCTTCCCTAACTAAGGCCAAGGTGTACAGCTCCCCTAGTCTCCCCATTTGTTTGATAAAGGGATTAGCGATACATGGGTTTCGGTTGGTTCATCATCCCCAGAGGCCTTAGTCTCTTTGCCAAAACAGGTTTTTCTTTAAGTGTGCTGATATCTCTGTGGAGGAAACAGTTGGTTTTCCTGTAGAAGGCAGATTTTTCTTTTCCAGAAGAAAGTTTGCAGAATGGGGCTTGAGAAAATTTTTTCTGTTCCACTTTTATATGGCAGAGTCGGACTGCCTAGGTGAACACTCAAAACCGCAGCCCATCCCAGCAACAGCAGCAACATACTTCATAATATGAATGGATGCTTTTCCTCTCCCTATTTCCCTCTAATCTTATACCTCCTCCTCACCAGTGTTTATACCTCTTCCCTCCATCCCCAGTTTCTATTTAGGATTCTTGGTCTATTGCTCCAGGAAAGGGATGTGTACTTAGAGATCTCAAGACAGAAATAACTTAGATTTAGGATAAAAATGTGTGTTAATGTCTCCAAGAACAGACTAGGTCCTCAGGCCAGCGAAGGAGGGAAGACAGGAAAGCTCAGGCACTGATCTCCCCACTCTCACTTCCCCAGCTTGGAGATGAAGGGAAGCAAGCAGTCAGAAGAACCATTAGACAGGGTTGTAAGGGTCCATGAAGCAGCAGGAAAGATGCCGGTAAGTGGTAATTTTGGGTAAGCAGGAACGTTTCTTGTGGCTTTGAGGGTGAAAGGTGGAGAAGAATCCAGGGTAACTGATAGACTAGATCAAAAGGGACCTTATGAGAGGGAGCAAGGGATGACGTGGTGGCAGCAGGGACCGTGAGCTCAGAGCCAGACGGAAGATGTGTATATCAGGAGACACTAACAAGGCAGAAGACCAAATGCTCCTTCTGCTGCATTCCCCTCACCTTAGCAATACTCCAGGGATTCAGACAAAGCTCTGGTGAAAGGAAAAGGCTCTGAAATCCTAGGAGAACTGGGCTTCATATTAAAGAGCCCCAATAAAGATGAAGAGCAGTGACTTCTTTTATATATAAGGAGTCCAAATTCCTTATAAAGCAGAAAGTCTGCCAGACTCTCATCCTTTCTGGTCCCTTTTCTTTTTCTGGTCCATTTGATCCCATTACAAACTTGAACCTTGCTTCTAATTTAAAGCCCTTCCTTCTTTTGCAGGACTGGCGAGATCTGTGGCTCCACAACCTGAACCTGTGGAACGGTCAAGGTCTGTTTGTTTCTCCTTCCTCACTGACTCCTCCTCCCCTCACCCACCTGTGCTTGGCTCCTCGGAGACCGGGGTGAGATATGGATAACATGTCTCAGTGCAATTTGTAGTTCTCTTCGGATGGTCCATACTTTCTGGAATACTGGCTCTTTGGGGGCACTTCATAGATTTTTTTTCATAAGATCCTCTCTCATTCTTGTGCATAAGGACCTTCATCTGCACACGTGATGCGAATTGGGTGCTCTAGGGCTGACTTCTTGAAACTCTCCGGGAGTTGTCTATAGGAATTTATGATAGGAGTCCTTGCCCCAGAAGATGGTCTTAGAAGAAAGTTTAGATTTTTTTTCCCCTGGCATCCAATTCACTCCTGGGAATATCGCACATCTTGCTACATCAAATAATGTCTTGCCTGGGGCTGAGGATATAGCTCAGTGGCTTAAGTGCTTGCCTGGCAAGCCTGAGGTCATGAGTTCAATTCCCAGTACCCAAAACAAACAAACAAATAAAAACCCCCCAAAACACAAATAATGTCTTGCCTGCCAATGAGGGCTGCTCTAGCCAGCTGCACGCCTTTAGAATTCCCCAGCAAGGAAGCTGACATAAATCTCTATATTTAGGTCTCTCTTCTAAACTCAAGTTTTCCCAAGCATTCTTTGAGCAGATTTCCTTTTAGGCATTGAGGGAAGGCTCAACAATTTCTGTGGTTATGTAGCAATTTAGCTTGGAATTGAATGCCAGTCTTTCTTTCTTTTTTTTTTTTTTTTTTGCTTTTGGTTTTTCTCCGGTACCAGGAACCGAACTCACGACCTTGCGCTTGCCAGGCAGGCGCTTTTGCTGCTGAGCTAAATCCCCAGCCCTGCCAGTCTTTCTTTTGTAAGGACTCCTCCCTTACCATGTTGGTTGGGTAGAGGAAACATTAACCTGGCAATATAAGACTTACAAGAATCCATCCCCTCAACCAATGAATTCTAGTCTTCTGCTTACTGGAGTGGGTGTGTTGTTGTGGTGAGACTTCAAATGTGAATTTACAGTGGACCCTTGACTTACAAACTCAACTCATTTGCAAGGTCTGTTTGTGACTCAAGTTGGTTGTAAGTCAAGACTATTTCTCCCATAAGAAACAATGTAAATACCCATAATGCATTCTGAATCTCCCAAAGCACCCCTTAACTAACGTATTCATAAGAAAAAAGGGTTGTACAAAGTGTGTAATTTACCAGAACACCAATAATTTTCCTAGTATATTCACCAAAAAGTTATAAAATGTGCCTAGTTTACCAGAAACAACAATTTCATGCTCTGCTCACCATTCAAGTTGACACCTTTGGCTTTAGGAAGGGAGGATGGAATGGAAAATGGAAGGTGGTTATTGTTTGGAAGGAGCACCCCCTTCCATAAGAACATCAGGAATCTGGGCCCAGACTGATGCTTACATACACTCACACATGCTTTTCTGGCATCACGAGGCTGTTTACAACTGCACAAGTGGCTGGCATTCTGGTCATAACTCAAGACTTTGGTCATAAGTTAAATCTAAAATTCCGGTTGTACCCCAATTGTTCATATGGAGGCCAGTTATAACTTGAGGATCCACTGTAGTCACTTTTTATCAAACTCTGGAGACAGAGCTCCTAGACTGCCCTCCTCAGGATGTGGAG